AGTGTTATAATGCTCTCTTGATTCATTTCGGGATGAACTTCTTCGATGATTTCCGATTCAAGTTAATCTTGAATAAATATATCATACTGTTTGAATAATATTTCATTATTCCGGAGTCTTTCAATTAATACCATGAGGCGGCCGAAGCATAGTCCACAATCATTTGATTTTTTCCATGGCCATCTGACTTGATATCATCCTTTCTGCTTGATAATGCTCCTTTTGGATTGTTTTAGAGCCTGTTTATTTTCATCAAGTTGATCCTGAATGCCTATGAATCCCAACTTCTAAAAATGATCAATGTCAAATTGTTATTTACATTGGTCCTGGACGCTATGGCTCTCCAGGTTAATATCACATTCATGCTGCCAGTATCATTTATAGATCCAGTTCCATTCAGTATTGGTCCAATCTTTGTTTGAAACAGGAAATATCTTGATTTAGCCCTTGCATTTCACATCACTCGATGAATTTGCCTATATAATCTGTGCCGAGAAGTGTATCAGGTTGTTTCCAATAACTTTTTAAGCCATCTAATTGATCATACTCCGTCAATGATGATTATCCTTTCCACTCGTCCGCACCACTTGCAATTCATTTGATAGATAATCCTTAATATATACTTACAAGTGATGATTTCTTCCCCCAATATCTTTATGCTAATCTTCGCCTTTGTGGAGGAGTAATTCTTCGCCAATTTATCGCCGAATGAAGCGATACTTATTTCATCTGTAATTCCTTGCAAGCTTAGTCGATCCGTTAAATCCTCTCAAACGAATGACAACTGCGCACCTTGGTCAAGTAGTACTAGTGCCTGTGTTTCTATCTCCTGAGCTTCGGGATTGACTATGCTAACTTTTTTACACAATGATAAAACTCTTCCTTATAGATCCCTTTGATCAGCCATTGAATCAGTTGTACACATTGGTTCCACTTTTTCCTTACTTGTTTTGTTCATCCGACTAGCGTTCGTATCACGTCTGTTACATAACGCTGATTTTTGTGGACCACTACCCTTGCAGTGGAAGCATTGTGTCATTCTCATTCTATAGTTGCTTGCGATATAGCCCAATTTCATGCATTATTTTCGGCAGGCGTTAATTTTACTTAAATGCCTTAGCTGTTATTTTAAGGTTGGATAGTTTCGATATTTGTCGTTCCAATGATCTTTATTATATAAGATCTTGATCTTGTTGGGGTTCTCCCAATCTGTTCTCTGTCTAATCCCGCCTTACCAACCGCTGCTCCTGAGCCATCACCGATGGTTTTAACTGTAGCTAAGGCCGACGTTCTATTTTTGGATTGTCTGTCACTCGGAACTATCGATTTATGGTAGGTCGAGTTGGCTTCTCGATTTCACTGGTAGAAGTTTGATTTTGAGCTACAGCTTTTTAGCAACTCCATTAAATCTCTTAGGAAATGCCTCAATTTGCTTACTGACCAAAACTTATCTTTCAACCTTTGCTCATGAACTTTAATCAGGATGTGCTTTGGTAAGTTCTTTTCGATAATTACTTGTAGATTTGTATGTTCTAGATTTTCTACCAACTGCAGTTGTCTGAGTAATCTCTCTTGTATTTTTGACCGTTGTTTCCCACTCACAATTTTTTCTGACCGAGAAGAGGTTGTTGTAAAATAAACTTGTGATAGTGTAGTATCACCGTATTTCTTCATCAATATCTCTCGAATAAGATTGTAATTCTCTAATGCATCTCGAATCCATTAACTAATCATTAACGTATCCACTAGCTTGTAATGCTTCATCTCTTCAGCACGAAATAAGATAATTGAGCTTCTGGATGCCTGGAAGGTCCTGCTTATGTACCGCTGCTTGAAAGCCGATCCAGAATGCTCTCCAGTTTCGAGGATTCCCGCTAAACATTGACAATTGCAATTGAGGCAGTTTGACTGTCGCTCTCCGAAGCTTGAACAGTTGTCCCTCTTTCTTGTTGTGACAGTTCGCTCGCGAGCTTCTTTTTTGATCTGAAATCACTCAAACTCTGCAAATGTGAATTTTATCTTCTGAATAGTCTTCGTATTTTTTTACCACTGGCTTCCATCCCCTTATCAAGTTTAATACTCTTTGGTCATCTATCATTTCTGCGCATTTTCTGTTCTCTGCTTTTTGTTGTTAAGGAGAGACCGTTTGAATAAAATCCTTCCATTCTTTGTTGATCTATTCCAACATTCTCACATGTGCTTCAATTCTTTTGATCATTTCTTCGATAGTTCCTTTTCGTGTTTTATAATGTTCGCATAATTATTCGTGAGGGAATTTTTGGTCGAATGGTCTCATCCAATTCCTTTACTTCGTTAAGAACTTTGATTAGTTTCCCTTTCGCCGGGTTTGTGCTCCGCATTATCTTAAATAGCATTCCTTCCCAGCTCATGTCACCAAGAAATTCCTGTCGTGTCGTTAATCTTTTGAATTCGGTTTTCAGTGATATAGATTTACTCGGAATGTAATATTATTTTTGCATAATATTACTAGTTAATAACAAAAAGAATGTAAAATATATATGTATATATTACGTGATGAATTGGCAAGCAGTGATGAGCTATATAATAAGCAAATAATTAACTAACAAATTCCTTGTTGTTGCCTTGGATAATAGTTGATTGTCGGTTTGTTGATAGGTTACATAATGGTTGAGATATGAGAATTCACCCTCCGGTTGAGCTAAGGATATGCTGCAGGGAATATTTTTAAGTGAAAGGAAGGAATATTGTCATCCGTTTGTTGTTCAATGATGGCGGATATGCGAAGAGGATGTTGTAGTTTGCTTGATTGTAAACTAATTTGCTTCGGATTTTTCCTTATGTGTAGATAAGGATTAGGGAGGAGTTTTGTAAGCTCCATCGGGGTTATCATGAAGATAGATAGGTGCTCTTTGGCATTATCTATTGTGTATGTATAATGGATATCATTGTCTATGGTGTAGATACTGAGATACCTTTGTGTTATGCTGTCCAGATGCTTTTCTGTTATGCTGTCCATTGTTAGCTTTTATTCTTATTTAATTTTACAAGATTTCATCATCCTATCTGTTAGATATTGTGAAAATTTTATTCAAATATGGCTTTAATTTCGGTAATTTGACATATATATACCTTAGACAAATATGGAAAATCGATCTTAGCAAGGCAGTAAACAACCAACAGCTTATCGATAACAAATACAGTAAGATAGAAACGTTCATCACTGTGATCTTATGTCGTCCTGCATCCATTACCTTTGTTAATGTTGGCATTGCTAGCATCATAACCGCTTTCTTTGTTCTCGCAAGCCTAAAAAAGTAGCCTAAAGAAATAAGAGCCCAGCAAAATTCGTTGTTCTTAATAGTTAACCTCAACAAATTTGTTGTTCTTAGTAGTTAAATTTCATTTTGAGACTTTTTGTAAACAGCGTTTATTGTAAAAATGCAAATCGGAAATTTCTTAAAGATTGTTTTCTTGTCAGTCCGTTTCTTTTTGATGAGAATTCAATTTGGCGGTAACTTTAGAACCAGCATGATACCAATTAGTCAATCATAATGAAGTAGCTGAGTTACCTTATTCACATTATCCACCGAATCCAGGATGGTAGGAGTACTTAGTCGGACTAGTTGATCCAAATTGCATGGTACCGAGCACTCTGGTACGAATAGTTCATAAATATTTGCATTTTCTG